TCACCGCATGGCAACCAAGCAACAAAAAAGAAGCAACGTGGTGGGGATCCCAAAACACCTGTCAAGGGCATATCCCCAGTGACCTACTTTCTCTACTGAGACCCCATCTCCTAAGGCTACTTTATCTCCCAAAAATGCCACAGGCAGGTGACCAAAGCTTTTAGCACATGGCCTCCAAGAAACATTTCGGATCCAAGCCATAACAGTTGCTGCAAGAACAAGCTCAAAAACCCCACTGATGTTTCGTATCTCATCACAACTCAAACACTAAGAATTTAGGAATAAGTACTTTGACTTCATTGTTAGTCAGATTATTCACATTTCCCATATATTTGTATGTTGTTTCTGTTGACATCTTTGGTCTTCCTGCAATATTCCTGTATCCCAAGGTGAAACCCAGTAGCAAGCAAAGTCCTATGACCCCTACCATCAGGCCATTGCCCTCAGGCTAAGGCACGAAACTCTGTTAAGCCAGGCAGCAAGGAGATGACTGACCACTCTTCCCCTCCAAGTGACATGTTAAGCAGCAGACCCTGCCCTCTGGAGAGCAAGGTATGAGAGCTAACATAGTGACTTGTCTCAGAACCCAGAGCCAGACCTGCTGCAAGAAGAGCCAGCACTTATTGGAACATGAAGGTCCTGGGTCTCAGTGTACTACTGGAATGGAACCGTACAGAATCCTGTAGCTGTGAGACTCAGACACATCCCAGTTTAACATCAATTTAGGAGGCCAACCCCACCGTCTCCAACACTATCCCAGCCCCAGGCGGCATAGTTTGGGGCAAGTCCACATTCACTGGGTTAGGATAGGGTGGTAAGCACAAGACTTTGCCCTTGAATATAGTGCTGGGCTGATGAAACCCAGTAACCAAGCAGATCATAACAGCCTTTCCCCCAGGCCTGCCAAATAATGGAGTAGCTCTGGAATAACTCTAGTGTCAAGTAAAGATATATGATATCAATAACAAAGTTTTATTCCAGGGAGCATAAGCCTATGTCTATTGAAACAGTCTTGGACCATAAGTCCCCATAAGCAACAGGCAGCCCATAGACATGTAGTGATATGTTTTTGGTTGCATCGCTAAGGAACAGAAACATTAAAACCTCAAAGAAGCCCTTTAATCCATGCAAAATGACTGGAGGAGGGTGTGCATCAGTGAGACTTCAGAACACATCCTAATGAAACTTTCCTAAAACCCCTTTCTCAAAGGTTTAACAGGTGAATAAAGGGCTTGATAGTTTTGACAGTTCATGTAAATGATTTCTGGTAAGTTCTTTCCATTCAGAGAGAATTCTGGTCTTGTACAAATGTCCTTAATATTCTGTGTGGAAGCTCAGATAAACTGCTCCCCTATTATTAATCATAAAGTGCTTACACATTTTGAACTTTTGACAAACACTCTGTAAGCACTTTAGAAAGATAGTATCCATTGATTTTATTACATTAAAAATTTTTAAACAAATTAAATTTAACAGTTTATTTGAACAAAGAAAGATCCATAAATTGGGCTCAGAATGAGATCTTTGCTCAGTAGGAGGAGCCTAACGTGAAGGGCTACAGCACAAAAAAACCCTGCACACACAGCCGCAAACATAAACATGTGCACACCCTCACACTTGATATATCTTGATGTTACTTACATTTTTAGATAGGAAAGAAAGAATGTATATGTCCTAACTTTCAAAAAATAGAATGTATGGGCTGGGCTTTTAACTCAATGTTTCTGCCACCTGCCTCATAAGCACAAGGTCTCAAGTTTGATCCCTGGTACCAAAAAAAATAAAAACTGGCATGTTTGATCATCATTATGTTTTGAAATAAGGACATGGCAGATTTGATATTTAAAACTTAATTAAATGATAGTTCCTCTTGGCTGATAAATGCAAAATAATATGCTTACTTTTTACACTTAATTTATTGTCCTACTTGTAAGATTAATGTCATCATTAATTAACAGAAAATTAATTTTAACATTATGTAGTACATTTACTTTTTAATAGTCAAAATAATCCTACTTGTTCCAGTTAGTTGATAAGTCATAAGAAATTTAATAGGATTATTTACCTAACTATTATTAAACTTTAAATTGCCATAACTGATAGAGAAATTAGGTGAATAAACTTAAGAGTGAGATGAGCTCCTGAGTTGGTGAGAAAAAGTGAAAATTGTTGCACTTATTGACTATAATTGTGCAGTACTTTCTTGGGATGCGTCTGGTGGCTTCACTTTGATGATCCTGTCCCAATCAGTTTACTTCTGACCACTAATAGAGTTGCTTTAGGTCATTCTGGTTAGTGAGTCAACAAATCACAGTACTTTCTAAGCCAACAGCAATTCATTTGACCCATCTGCCTTTACTTGTTCCTTTTTTTTTTTTTTTTTTTTTTTTAG